TGCATGCATGCATGTATGGATACATGTATTTATGTATGCATGCATGCATGCATGCATGCATGCATGGATGGATGTATGTATGTATGTATGTATGTATGTATGTATGTGTGTATGTATGTAATGTATATGTATGTATGTATGTATGTATGTATGTATGCATGTACACATATGTATACATATATATATATATATGTGTGTGATCTTACTACAACTTAAGTTATAAGGTGTATTCCTTAATCGAGGGATTTTGGAAGGTCTGCGTATTTGAAGGGATCCTTGTGGGGTTCTGTGAGGCTTGCTTAAAGGGCTCAATAGCGGGGCGCACGGGATTTTAGCTCGGTTTAAGGTTTGGAGTTTGGGGTGATTTTCTTTGTTTTGTCTCCTTGCTCTTCGATCATGTATAGGATCCTCAGCATCGAATTGGAGAGCCCAGAGACTGCAATAGAATGGAGACTGCCGATGACAGAAGCTATCATCCTTCCCTTGATGATTCTTGCTTATACTAGGGATCCTACAACAACTAAGGATCGTATTTGTCAGGATTTTGCTAGACACACTACGGATCCGAATGGTAAAGCGATTGAAGTGCCTGAGCGGTGGCAATTGGGGTTTAAGGTGTATGTAGGGCGTTAGGGCTTCGCTAGGGCTCCCATTAGTCTGCATGATCAGAAGCCCAAAAGCCCCTGCCTCAACAATTAAAATAGGGGTTTCGGGCATGCTCCAAAGAGTTGAGTTAGGTACATAAATAGGCACCCTGAGGAATAGTTTTGGTAGTGAGACATTCGCCAAGAGGAAGCACTTCGTAATCGTCATCAGAATCATGGCAGCTTGCTTTCGCCAGCTTCGGGGCATGATTTTTCAAACCGTCTGCAACGTAAGACATGCCATCACACCCTGAGCCCAAGACTCAGAACCCTAACATGCTCTTGTAGAAATGGCAAGGCTGTTAAACCGCCCGGAAGTCCAGCTACTATAGTCGGTATGGTGTATGGCCTTCAAAGGCAGGGCGTCTTACTGTCCGAGATTTTGTTTGTTATTGTTGACCCGGTGGAAGTCTTGCGAAATCTGTCCGACACCAGAGCCGTTTAGGGCTTACTGTCGCTAAACGCAAAGACTGTCGAGAAATGCCGATACTCCAGACCTACACCATAAACCAGCTACCCTGTTTTCAGAGGCCTGCCAGCAAAACGCCGCCTACATCGGGGCCGAGGCACTTGCGGGCAAGCCTGCCCTTCACATGGTGCAGGTCTTATCTACGCTAGTGCCTGGAAGCCCCAGATAAGAAAAGCAAGCAGATAGCGATATCACTCGAATAAGTCCTAAACCCTAAACCCAAACCCTAACCGCTTATGGCTGCATCCTTTTCGGGCCTTTTCTTGAGCCTGAGTTGCAAGTCCTCCACACCTTTCACGAGTCCCCACGACCGTAGCGGTGCCTCCTACAATCAGCTGGCGCTTTAGTAGGGCCCGGTCCAAGGTACCCAAAACGAAGCACTGGGTCTAGGACAGCAGTCTTGTGAGGGCCCATGTATTCATATGGGATGATTACAATACTGTTGGCATTAAAGTCGTCCCCGTATTGGTACTGTGGGGTCAAACTATATCTTGTTTAACAAATTGGGCACATGGACTCTTAGGGATTTGGGGGAGTAGAAAGCATGGTTATTTGGACTCTTGGACGTGACGTAGATAGTAAAGTCCCTACAACACGTTACAGCTTTCGGCTCTGAATGCCGCATGGGAGAATAGTAACACCGTAGTCTCTCAGGGTGTAGGCTATAGACTTGAGGGTAGGGTGATGGCCACATGTCAGCCCGAATTACAGCCAAACATGTTCGAGCTTCAGGGGCCTCAGTTCTGGGCGCATACTCTAAACACCAAGTCAGTCTTTGGCATGACCCTAAACCCTGAACTTAGGGGTACTTAGAAATAATTTTTAATCTTTGGCTACTATAAACCCTAAGAAGCAGCTAAAATTATAATTTTTGCTAGGGGTCTAAGTTCAGTATAGTGAAAAAGAAGCAGGAACCCCACAAACGAAAACCTAAACAAGCCAGCATGTATACACAAACCCCCGGGCATTGCCTAAAGGTTAAACCCCCGCACTACCTGGAAGGACCCATGTACCTGCGCAAGATAGCATGCCCCAATATTTTTTGGAACCGCTATACATAACGCCACAGTATGCGCGATATTGTACGGGTAGCTTTAACAATGAATCCGCTAGGAGCCTTACTAATAGAACCCCTTGCTAATCCCTAGAAATCCCTCCACGAGACCGCATTTGCAAGCTTTTTCTAGTGGTACATCGACGTTCACCTCAAGGCTCAAGATTGCCCGCAAGCCTTTAAATTTCTTAGTTTGGTATTTGAGGGTCAAAAGCTGAAAGTATGAGTCCATGGAGCCGTAGTTTGCTTAACGTTGTTGGGGCTTAGGGTTCAGGGTAGCTAAAAGCTGCCAAGCATGACCCTGAAGATTCGGCAGCATGTAGATGGACCGTATCCCCAAATCATAAACCTTTTGCCTCAGCACTTCCGGAGCTCGAAACAGGTGGCCACGCATCTTGCCGACGTGCCCGAAGCTAAGGAAACAATTTTCTGCATATTCCTACCCCTAAACCCTAAACCCTAAACCCTACCCGTCGGATCCGGGATACCCATATGGGGGCCAAATACAGAAGCTGGAGCTCTGTTAGCTTTAAAGAATTGACCTCCAGGCGACAAGAATACAGAAGCCCCCATATTAGTTCCCAGCCCTTAGGATCCAGGTGCCCATGTACTGTAGTATGTATATACTTATAACGTGTAGGCTTTAAGCGGGTTTCGATACGGCTACGTTTAGGCCTAAGAAGGAATGTGGGCTTCAAACTAGCTTATGAAGACGTTGGCCTTAAGGGTTTAAGCTTTAGGGTTTAGGGTTTTGGGTTTTGGAATGGTTTGGCACTCCAAGCGTTTATAGCTGATGTGTGTTTTGGTTTCATAGCAGTTCATACCTATGCATAGGGTTGCTGCGTTATCAAATATTTGCCTTTGATTTAGTAGGACCTCGCCCCCGACAGAGCCTTATCTCAAGCCACACGCTCTCACATCCAGACGGGAAGAGTAGCCCGTAGTCCTGCCAAGGGACTTCTAACAGGCAAGCTTGCTCACCTTAATGTTGAGTGGCTGATCGTGCCCAGCATTCTCGCAGTCGGCATTAGTGGACTTGTGGAATTCTTTCGCGGGGGCACGAGCTCGATGCCGAAGCTTGTCTCTGCAGAAGTTTCTTCTGTTCTTCGCTCTGCCTTTAAACCCTAAACCCTAAGCCGTCTCGAGGGACCTCCAACAACCGAATGCTCGCCTACGTTCTTACCAAAAGGAGTCGGGACTTGCAATGGCCTATAGCAAGCGGCGAAGTGATCAGTTGGCCTTGCAAGCGGAAGAACACACCGCCACTTGTAGCGATGGCCGTGCAGGCAACAACGAATGCTGCGTGCCTTCTCTGTCCGAGCTCTTGTCCATGGAGTTCCATAGAGCCCTAAGCCCCAAACCCCTAAGCCCTAAACTTTAAACCCTAAACTGCTTTACAAACCCTAGACCTAAACCCTAAACCCTAAATTCGCGGCATGGACGTGGACCAACCCTCGGAGCAGCCGGACGCGCCGACAATCAGAGGCTACAAGATCGTGGGCCCAAGAGATCGACGAGTCATCCATAGCAATGCAACAAATAAATAGCACTAGAATTAATAATAGCAATTGTAATCATAGGAATAACAGCACTGATAACGACAATGAGCATGAACATATATAGTAGTAATAGTATTTGTAACAATAGTACTAGTATCGCTTTTCATATCCATGCTTCCAAATCTGACAGGATCTGATCGCGTGCTTTGCGGGGAGCTGCCCCTTGTCTGTGAAATGCTGCTGACACCTAAACCCTAAACCCTAAACCCCTAAATCCTAAACCTTAACCCCCAAATCCTAAACCCTAAACCCCGAAATCCTAAACTCTAAACCCTGAACTCTAAACCCCTAAACCCTAAAGCAATGCTGCTGACCATCTCTGGGCGTCCCTGGCCCACACGGCGCTTCTGGGATGCACCTGTCTTCGAGACGAACAAAGCCGTCTTATGCCTTATAGGTTTAGGGTTTGGGATATAGTGCCCGTTTCCATGTTTTGCAAGGGTGTCTTGAAGTCTCTGTATTCAAACCGATTAAAGGATAACCACATTTTCGATGCCATGCGAGGTGAAGACTTATGATGTTGGAATCCAGCTAGGACCCCGAAGTCTTAAACCTAGATGCACCAGGTCAAACCTCAACAGCCTGCCTTTCGCCAACCAGTCCATCGACAAGATCGGGCGCACAGAAAGTTGGGTTTAGGGGCTGGGGTGCTCGTGGATCCAGCAAAAGAACTTCGTTTTTCAAAAGGTCATTAGCTCATACCTATAGTCTCCATTGCAGTTCCTTTTTGGGGATACCCTATAAACTCGTTGATATATATTTGGTTAAACCCAAAAAAAGGAACTACAATGGAGACTATAGGTAGTTGGGGTGTCGCAACCTGCTGTTTGTTAAGTTGTTGCGTGTTCTGATAGCTATGCAGTCACAACCTACCACGCTGTACGGCTTGCGCGGCTATAAGAGTAAAGTCGATTCTCGAAACATGAAGCCCTAAAGCCACAACCCCTGCTGTGAACCCGGTAGTTGAACCCTGCTTCGCCCGGGGTCCTCCCCGGTTTAGGGCTGAGGGTTTAGGGAACCTTTATGACAGGCCTCCGCTATGCTGATGTTCTGGCTTTAGGGCTTAAAGGCTTAGGGTACCCAGAACTGTCTTGTGGATTCCTGAACACTGGGATCCTTATTGCAAGCACGCCAAACAGGAAACCCTAGTACCCTTCCAAATCTCTGTTGAACTGTCAAAAACATGTAAACCCTACATAGGGCTGTGAACGTGTATGGAAGCCTCTTACGCAGCCTATTGTAAAGCACTAACTTGAAGAAACCCTATGCAACGCCCAGTGGGTCCCGAGTTTTGGAAAACAGCGACCCCCAGTTATATGTGTAGGTGTTCATACTATACCCCATGATGGCTGAGGTATTCTATTCCTTGGGGTTTGCGTGTAAGCATAGTGTATCATATACCGAACAGGACCCTTGTCTACTTATTAGGGCCATTATGCGATATCTAGAATGCGATATCTAGAAAGCCACCCCAAAGCCCGTTATAGCCCCTACATAGCTCTTGTAGATTTCATCCCATGAAAGCCCTACTCTTTTTTAAATTTCACCCTGACGGCCGCAAGCTGAAAAACTCCTGACGAGGTTGATGACGGCACCACCTTGGGACAGGACGGAGACTCCAAAACTTGTGATGAAGCGATACAGCTTAACTCATATACTTTGGTGGTCTTCGATTTTTCTGTTTAGTTTATGTTCACAGCAATAAAACTCCAAGGGGTATTAAACATATATGTATATAATATTTATATTGTATATACAGTATTAAATATTATATACATGTATACATAAACGTCTATTCTGGATCTAGGGAAGCTTGTAACATAGACCCTTGACTGCTGCATGATGTCAGTACCCAAAGGCTCCATGTACCCATATACTATATATATATATACACTTGGGCCTAAGGGCTTAGGGTTTAGGATTTCGGGTTTAGGGTTCAGGGTTTAGGGAAATTCAGGTGTATCCCCACAAACCCTGACACCCTGAAGCCCTAAAGCCTCAGCCTTTTCAACCCCAAGCCCTGCCCAATCCTAGAACTTTACCTTTAGCTACCAAAACTCTTGTTTGGTAGGGCCCCTATCGATTCTGTATTAGGGCTTAGAATAATAAGAACCCGCAAAACAGGTAGGCTATGGTATGTAGTTGAAGGCCGAGATTTAAAATTTCAATCGCGCATATTAAGGCACCCTAGCCCAAAGCCCGAAACCCCAAACCCTAAACCCCAAACCCTAAACCCTAAACCCCAAACCCCAAACCCTAAACCCTAAACTGTGATCCTTCGTCCACCTGGTTTTGTCGGACCTGGGCTCAGGGTTTAGAGATTGGGGGTTTAAGGCTCATTAGCTGTAGCCGAGAAAACGTATCTCGTTAGGACTCCTCTTTCGGATCCTGAGTAGCACCCCCTTGCCCTTCTTACTGTATGGTTCCCTTGTTAAACCTGAGTGGCTCGAACAAGTGTACCCGTATTATGTAGGGGTCACTCAGGAACCTAGCTGATTATGGTTTCTAAATATAACTCCTTCAAAAGGTAAATCTTTTGGGCCACAGGTAGGGTTTAGGAATTAGGGATTTGGGCTTATGGGTTAGGGATCAGGATAAGCAAGGGCCCAGCTGGGGCTTAGGATTTTGTGATCAGGGTTTAGGGCCCAAGACCTAGACCTATGGACAAATCATCAAGTAGGGCCTCGAATCATAAAGTGGACCAGGGTTTGGGCGTACAGTGTATATAGTATGATAACAAATACATGAACACTGCAAGGGTATGTGACCCTAAACCCTATAAACCCGAAACCCTATGTATGTATGCATCTATGTGTATGTATGTATATATATATATATACATATATATATATATATGTTATAGAGAGAGAGAGAGATAGAACCTAAATCCCAAGGCCCCACAGCATTTGGTGAGCGCTGAACCCTTAAACCCTATATCACATAGACCCTAAGCCCTACTACTGCTCATGATATAAATCCTGCATTTGCTTAAGGACCCTAAACTATGGGAAGTATGGCATATGCCTTTTTCTGGGTAATGCAGGATTTGTATCAGCAACCGTAACATTTCCTAGGTTCTTGCTAAGGAACCTAGTCTAAGTTACCAGAATGGGGGTTCTGTGGCAAATATTGGGGCTTGGCAACTTAAGTTGACTTGCCAGGTTCAGGCCCAAAATCCCTAAACCCAAAGCCCCAAACTCTTCAGATCCCAAAAGCCCTAAACCCTAAATCCCTTAAACCCTAAATCCTTCAGATCAAAAGCAACCTCGGGAGGCAGTTCGAGGCTTCTGGCGGACTACGCAGAGCCTCGACTCGGGTTGAGGGGTTTGGGGTCTTAGGGTTTCAGGGTCTTAGGGCTCGGGGACATGGGTTTTTTGTGGTCTGGGGAGTTGGGTTTTGGGTGCAAGGGTTCAGGGTTTATTGGTTTGGGGTTTTAGGGTTTAGGGTTTTACAGTTTAGGGTTCAGGGTTGAGGGCTTTTGGGGGTTGGGAAAAGATTGGGACTCCAGCATTCGGTTGTTTTGTTTCGGCCTTGTCAGGGGCCAGGACTTTCGGATCTTGGGGTTTTCGATTTAGACTGTCGGGTTTTGAGGCCGGGGCTTCAAGAAGCTTGAACTTGCGTTTGGAGTCTAGTGGCCGTGTCCCAGAAGTACCATTTTTGTAATTTCGCCTGCTGATCGGAAGGCTTCGCATCGATTTTGACGGGGAAGCACTTGCTAACTCATCATTGACAGTCCGTACCTGCTGCGAGCACAATGCAACGAGTGTAGCTCAGAACGTGGTGAGCTCTTTGCCTGCTTGCTTGCGAAGACACTGTCCGACGCTGGGCGCAGGTGTTTGATTCGTAAACCCGAAACCCTAAACAAGTCGTGTGTGGAGTTGATGTTCTACTCCTGGTCCACCTTACATTGCCGAAGACTTTGCAAACTGCTGTCGCAAGAGGTAACAGGGTTTAGGGGTCAGGGTCTGTATAGACCGTAACAGTGAAGAGCCATTCGTAGAACTTAGCATTTATGTCTTCACGGCGTCCCCTTATGATACATCCACTCAATTGTTTGTTCGGCTACCCTAGTACAAGAATGCAGGTTCTATGGGCCCTGATTGAAGCCTCATGATGCCCGAGATGTGCGTCAGCTGCTTGAATAAGTGGTGTTCTTCACGGTTCCCGACTACAGGGTGGCAGGCCTAAGCCCTAAACCCTAAAACCAAAAACGAAGTCTTCAGGCCCCTATGTTCAGCTCCTGCTCCTTGTTTTTGCGTCTTCGTCCGAGGCTTCTACAGAGCGATGCTGCCCGAGCTCTTTCGTGTGCTCAGGCCGGACAGGGATGATACCGTCCCTAAACCCTGAACGCTAACCCCCTTGGGGGGGACAGGTAGCTTGAGATTTCTTCTCAATATAGAGCCTTTAGGCCCTGAGTAGTAGCGCTTTTAGGGTGTAGAGTTTAGGGAGGTAGGGTTTCAATTTGGTGGGTGTTAGGTTAATCGGTTTCCCTTGCAAGTACCCATTCAGCTCATTGGGTTCAGGTGCAGAATTCCGTCAACCCTAATCCCTAAACCCTAAACCCTAAACCTTAAACCCTAAACCCTAAACCCTGTACGCCCAAAGCACAGATCTGCAGTCAATGCAATCCTGAAGCATACGTGTGGTTATAGGGCCCTTTGAGCCTCCAAACAGTGGGGTTTAGGGTTTAGGGTTTAGGGTTTTGGGTTTAGGGTCTAGGGTTTAGGGTTTAGGGTTTAGGGTTTACGGTTTAGGGTCTAGGGTTTAGGGTTTAGGGTTCTGGGACCCAGGACAGGACACTTGCAGGAACAGGCACATCGATGAACGCCCATGCAGGCTGTGGGACTCAAGGTAACTCTTCAGCCCAAGCCATACACAAACCCTCAATTCAAGTCGTCTTGCTGATTATTTCCTTAGACATATGGATTTCGATGGGCCGAACCAAAACTTAAACTAGATTAGCCGATACAGGTATCAACAGTCCTAGGCCCACTTCTATCCTAAATACGCGCTGTTAAGGACCTTAAGAGCTCTATTAAAGGGCACTTGGGGAGTCTTGGGCTAGAGAGGTACGCCCCAAACTAAACCCCAAACCCAAGACCCTAATCCTGAAGCCCTAAACCCTAAACCCAAACTCTCCGTCTCAGGTCTGATGGCTCCATGGCACTGCTGCTGAACATGGAGGCAGCGAAAATCATGCGAGAGCTGCTGACTCAGGCCCGGCCCCGCGTGAGGATTGCTCAAAGACTTGGGGCTTACATAGTACTAAGTACGTAGATTCTAAACTAGGAATTGCTGCGATGGTTTCTGGACTCTTCTCGGTTCAGTTAAGTCAAACCCCCTGAACCCCGAAACCCGAAGCCCTCAACCGCCAAACCCTGACATCCCTACACCCTGAACCTGCGGCCAGGATCAGATTACTTTAATCTAGGCAATCTAGTCTAAGTACTAAGGCATTTAGATTGTGGATGAAAGGGCTTCGTCAGGGGGAAAGTCGGTGTCGCTGAACTCGAAATCCCAAAGCCTGCAGCCCTAAACTCCCAACTCCCAAACCCACAAAAACCCGAACCTCGAAACCAAAAACGCCGGAGATGCAATCTTCAAACCCCCAGCGCTTTTCCTTAGACTGCCAATGGCTTTATGGAAGCCGGAATGGTCATGCTGGCCTCTCGATTATCCTTGGTAACTGAGTGGATACACTTCACACTTTAAAGAGATAATATTACCCACTATAAAACTGAAAGTGTACTTTTTTGGGGGCTGAACTCAGCGACGAAGTATCAACCCCGACAGCTCAAAAGCCTAAACTCCCAAATGCCTAAACCGCTCTCACGGGGTTCCCGACATTGACGGGCGTAGTCTCTTCTCTGGCTATAATATAATACCTATACTATTTTGTCGGTTCCTTAGTATAATTACAGTATAATGGCCTTCTAATCATTAAGGCCCTGCTGAAGCACGAAACCTAACACCGCAAAGCCCTACGGTTTAGGGTTATAGGGTAGTAAAACCCTATAAGACTTTCTGTGCGTGTTCCTGAACCGGTTTGTTGGCTTTGAAGAGGGTTTGTGTAGGGGCAATGTTGTTTATAGGCCTGATATCAACTATATGCTCTAAACTAACCCCCTAAACCTAAACGCCGAACAAAGCAACAAGTACCACTTTTTCTCTAGACCTGTGAACACTAGCAAAGAAGCTAAAGTCAGTACGAAGTTATTCCTTAATTAGGGTTCCTTTTTCGCATGTTTTTTGTAGTAACTACAATGTCTCCCCCCGACACCCTATCCGGGCCATTTGGGGCAAAGCTAGACGCATGCCTACACTCCACCGTAATTTGTAATCCTCAGAGCCTGGATCCTGCGGCCAAGCCCTACGGTTCAAGTACTTGATTAGGGTATAGGGTTTTGGGGCTTAGGGTGCAGGGTTTTAGGGCTTCTAGGCTTTAGGGTTTGTAGGGTTTACTAAAGGGAGACGGGATGGCCATATACTTCCACAAAGCAAAAATCTACCCGGGGTCATACCCTACCCCTTATTTTTGCGGTGCCCAGCTTTATGGTTAGGATCTGTATGTAGCAAACTAGGTACCGCAGAAATGTGTAGGGTTAGAGTGACCCTAAACCCTAAACCCTAAGCTCTAAAGCCAATTGCCGAGGTGTGAGGTCTTTGGACCCTCAGGATACCATTAAACCTTGCCTGAAGCCCCAAACCCAAAGCCCTAGGGCCCTAACCCTAATCCCCAAACAGCCCCGCATCTTCAATGCAAGAACCGCCTAGACCTTAGAAAAGCCTTGACACCCTCCCAAGAAACAACAAATGTCCCAACAAATGAAGACCAAACTTCGCAAAGCAAAACTCACTGCAAAATACTTGCCCAAACCCTAAACCTTACACAAGAACGGCCCAAAAGCTCCGCATGGTCTCCAAAAGACCCAAAAACACAACACCTACACCTACGGACAAGGCCCACAAGCCCCCATCATCTCCTACAGAAAATCAGCCAACGCCTTGAGACTCTGGCAGGAGAAGACGTGGGGTGTTGCCGTCGAGCGCAGGCCACGAGAGAAGGAAATGTGGGTTTCCCAAAAGGGTAATTATAATATAGCAACCCTACATTCTACTTCTTGAGTACTTAGGGACCCATGGGGTTCGAAGGCTTCAGAAGTGTTGATTCTGGGGGGTTCTACTCGGTGTTAATATCTTTTCCAAAAAGGGGGCCTGAATACTTAGAATAGGGTTTTGGGGTATATTATACTAGAGTTTTATTAAGTCCCCTACTTTACCAGTATTATCAATGGTTTTGGTTGTTTCGAGTTTGTGTTTGTGCGAGTGCTGTTCTGAACGTTCGCTGGGCATTGTTTGATGCACGTGTCAGTTGTTACTTGTGATCCCTAAACCCTAAACCCTAAACCGATTATGTGTCTGCTATGATTCTGTGTCAGTTGGTCTTGCCGACCTTAAGCACTCACCTGTGTAACTGTACCTTAAACGATAAAGCCAACAACTCCTCTAATTCCCTTTTGTATAGAAACCTTCAACCATAAGCCATAGATCTTGAACCTACAATTTCAGGGCATTCAGAACGAGCTCAGAATAAGGAGCCCTATGTAACTGTTGTTAGAAAATTGTCGGCAGGTTCGACATCACCCACCACACCGTCGGCGTGCTCATGCTTATTCAGCCGAAGGCTGTTAAATTTTCAGGGTTCAGAGCTTTTGGGTTACGGCTTGGCCACTTAAGTGATGCTGTGGAGTTTGTTGTTTTCGAGGCTCAGGGTGTTTTGCCTGTCAGGGTTGGGGGTTGCGGCTCCCCTGCTCATACTGGAGTCCAGGCATCAACTGTGTTGTTCGGAGATTAGCGAGTTTGAGGCCAAAACCAATCTAACACCCAACCTGCGGAACCCAAAACCGCTGTCCTTCCAGGGCTTGCTATCTAATCTACAACACCCCCATAACCTTATATAGAGCCCGTAAGGAGTCGCGTAGATTCAACACACCAGGGACGCTCTGGTTCAGTGAACACCCATCGGTCTGCAAGTAAGTGCTGACTTAAAGCCTGTTCATCCTATCTATAGCTGCATTATACTTCTGTGTATATACGTATATGTAGTGTTGCTGTGTAGGTTAGATAAGCATGCAATCATGAAAGAATATGGTCCTCTGAACCACGCAGAACCCTAAACCCTAAACCCTAAACCCTAAACCCTAAACCCTAAACCCTAAACCCTAAACCCTGAACCCTAAACCCTAAACCCTACAGCCCCAGCGACAGGATCCAGGCAGCAACTTCGAAACCGAGTACTCTCTCCTTCCATGGGAGGATGAGGCCACGAGGGTTTTGGTGTTTAGGGTTTAGGGTTTAGGGTTTAGGGTTTAGGGTTTAGGGTTTAGGAGGTTGTAGGGATGTTTGGTGTTGAGGGTTTTGTTGAGTAGTATCTGTCTGGTTTCTCAATGTTGGAGCTTCCCTGTGAAGGTTGAGAAGCTTACAAACTCTAGGACTTCCTCTAGGACTTTAGGAAAGGGTTTCGATTTTCACTAGCAGTATCAATACTTGGATTAGTGATTAGTGTGGGCTTACTGGGGAACCTAACATTATACAGTATGATTATCACTCTGGTTATTGTCTTTATTGTTAGGCTTATGCGGGGAACGTGGCGCCGTTTGCTTGGGGATGGCTCTTAGATGGAAGCCCCACTGTTCTACGGGTTCTATGCTGGGTTGGAGGTTTTTCTAAACCCCTAAGCCCCTAAGCCCTTAAACCCCTGAGCCCTAAGCCCCTAAACCCTAACCTTGACAACAGCCTTCAGGGCTTCGAATGCTCATAGACGGAGGAGTTGGTTTTTAGGGGCTCGGGGCTCTGAACCTTGCTGGCTGGAGGGGGGCCTAAGGTTTGAGATGAGGGTTTAGATGCTCAGGCTTTGGGGGTTTAGTGGTGTAGGTTTCAGGGTTTAGGGTGTAGGTGTTTAGGGTTTAGGGTTTTTTTCGGTGGGTGTACAGTTGTTGTCTTTATTCGGTTCGCGGCTTCTATGCCCAATACATACACCCCAAAGCCTGTAACTAGGAAGGTTCAAAACCCTGTACTCTGGAAGCATCCACCGGTCCAAGCGAAACCAGTTTCGATTTCCAGAGTTGTCGATTTTTCAGGGTTTACGCCGTCAGCGCTCAGGGCCGTAGGCCTCTGGAGCAGAATTTTGTTGAACCCTGAACCTTACACACCCTAACAGCCTTCGCCAGCATTTTGCCGGTAGAAAAGAGTCTCGAATGATTCATACTGGCGTCCCTTACAAGTTCCTTGACGTGTACTCACCATGCGAAGCGCCCTACCCCCCCTCACCCCACCCCCCTCCCGAAACCCTAATGTACTTACCTCATCAAGGAAGCTTGGCCCTGTAGCCCCAAAAATTTATTAGGACCCATATAAAACACACCGAATTCAGACCCATGGTTTCTTAATCCTATTCCTACATAAGTCAGGCTATGCAGGCCGTTGAGGTTTGTGTTCTATATTATAGAGGCTTGAGCGCCAACCCCGAGTCGCCCTCAACACGCCGCACCTCCTCAAGCCCGGACAGAAGCACCCTAAAAGGTTATAGATGGCTAGTTTTCCAAAATAGGGTCCCTCTGCCGTCTTTAAGCCCCCAACATAATACGACAGCCTTATGAAAAGGACTTGAAAAGGGACCCTAATTTAGAGAACTACGCGCATAGTGACCAGCTGGATACGCCCAACAAGGAGGGACGTCTGCTTTTGCGGAGGCAGAACAGGAAGGCGCGGACATTTTACCGAGCTGGCGAAGACGACGACAGCTACAGGAAGATAACGTACCCCAGGGACGCTGACCCGGTCAAGAGGGCAGAGTGAATCACTGAAGTTGCGCAGTGCCAGCTTCCGACATGGCCCAAAGGCATCCAATGACTGATCGCCCCGCGGTGGGGTGGAATTGCACGGGCTGCTGCGATCTTGCCTATTCAGACACATCGCTTGTTCCAGCTCATAGAGTCCGCCGGTACACTTCGGCTGCTGTTTCCCCGGTGCATGCAAGGAAACACACACCGAGCCCTGATTCCTAAACCTCGTTGATCCGAAACTCTGGGCCGTCGCAAAGACCATGAAGCCCAGCCACAAGCCATGTGGAGGTTTCCGAAAATAGGGGACCCTAATAAGAGCACCCTAATTAGTAGGATCCTTATTGTGAGGACCCCAAAACGAGGTACGCCTTATTATCGGAAACTCCCATGTCCCAGCTTTACCGGGTGATATACAGGGTTTTTTGTAAAGGAGTGGGGTGTTCGTAATGAAATCCTCGACACTACTGCCTACATGCCCTAAACCCTATACACCGGCCCTCTTATTACTTGAATTCCCTGAGCCCTGCAATCGTTAAGCGCTTGTGCCTACATGCCCGAGACTCAAGAAAACACTTCAGCCCTAAATAACTCTTCATTGCCCTAGTAAGCCCTTACACCCTGCATTCTTGATCCCATCTCCTTCAAGCCTTAGGCCTATACTCCCGCCTAGCAACCCCGAATAGTTTCCGTTGACCTCTCCTGCGTAAGACTGAATACTACTATAGAAGAACAAAATCTTGCGCCAATTTTCGTAAATCAATAAACCTCTTTTGCTGATTCCCTGCGCCCCTTTTTGACAATGGCCGTGAAAGGCTGCGGGCCGGATTTGGCCGAAATCTTGCACCGCTCGCGTAGTCCTAGCCGCCCATCTTAAGCAGGGTTTAGCGTTTAGGGGTTTAGGGTTTAGGGGTGCTGGGCTTGATTTCGTCCATCCACCGACTGGCAGAAGTGTTTTGGCATCTCTCGCACTCCTACCAATGTCATGTCTGCTTACCCACTCATTTCAGGGTGCCTGGGCTCAGGACACGTAGCACAGCAGCTCACTCCATGTACAGTCAACGCTGCAGTCAACATTGCTTTAATGCGGGAAAATCCGGCCTCTTGCTGTTCTGGACATCAAGAAGCTCAACAATCATAGAGTTTTCCGTTAAAGGAGCAAACACATGCAAGAGGACAGCAAGTCAACACTACAGTCGAGTCAGCACTGCCAAAAAGCTGGAAATTCCAGCACGTCGCTTTCCGGGACTTTAAGAAGCTAAACGAAACCCTTTTATTGTCTTTGACAACGAGTGGAGTGTGGAACCTGCTGATTTCTCAGGATTTTTAGGGTTGGACTGTAGTGTTGATTGTCATTTTGCATGTATTTGCGGCACCTTGGGAGTGCAAAACTGCAAATCTTTCCGTAGAATATGGAACCCTTATGTGGACCTCATTACCCCAAACCCTTACAACCCAAACCCACACCCCTCCGGACAAGGGCAGCACCCGAAATTCGCGTGGCACGCGGTCGTTCTGGAATCGCCTTCGGGCCAGGCTGGCTTTTATGGCAGCTTAGACAGGTTATTTATAGCTTGTTAAGGTGGGCATTTAGGGGTGTCATAATTAGGGATTTATGAGGGCTGGTGGGCGTTTTTGTATATAATTTGATGTTCGTGGGATTTTATGGTGGTTTCTGGGAGTGTTGCAAGTGTTTGATGCGGGCGTTCAACGGGTTTGATCCTAATGAAGTGCTTACAGAACTTGTTGAGTTATGTGGACCGCTTTCGTAAACAACAAACCCCTGTCTTGAAGGCGTAATATTCGGATTCCTACTGCAATCCCCTTTTCAAGGCAGGCGGAGCGGGGGGCGCGGCTATTAATCAGTGGTTTTTAGGAAGTCTTACAGTACCCCTACTTAGCCCGACCCGACTTCACCCCTTCAGGCCGAAAACAACCGAGGAGCGCGGGCCTTAATAATTCGAGTAGGGCTTCCCGGGGCCATCAAAGTATCAGTGCACTCAGAAACCTTGACCCTAAACGGCCCTCTAAACCATACCTGAAGCCCTCTACGAATCAGTCCCAGAATTCAGGTGATGCCTCCGTACATGTAGTTGTCCTGCGTAGGGCCACGAAGAGTAAACCCTCCCTGCCTAAGCCCTGTTAGTCGGGACTCCAAACCCCGAAACCCTCGACCTTGCCAGGGAAACCGGGTTCCCCATGATAGCGGCTTCAATCAAGAGGTTTTCGGTTTGGGGTTCTAACAACGGATGATATTAAATGGGGTGTTCTATTACAGGCTTTGGGTCTCGGAGGTTGAGAGTTTAGGGTGTGGGGGCTTAAGGGGTCCATGGGGGTTTAGAAAGTCTGAACGTCGTGATTGTCATAACACGCACTTGTAGTTCCTTCATTCCTACAGGCTTCGACCGCAACCTACCGCAAAGCCGTAAGCTATTGATGAAGGCCCATATCTACGTATTTGTCTACTTGTCTACCTACTTACCTACCTACCTACCTGCCTGCCTGCCTGCCTGCCTGCCTACCCACCTACCCACCTGCCTACCTACC